CCAGAGGTGTTGAGTAAACTACTGAAAGGAGTGAATTTTGGACATTGATATTAGGTCTGAATCAATTTTATAATTTATAAATTATGTCATATTATAAATTCCTTTGCCTTTTTTGACTTAAAACATTCTTTTCTGAAAATTAACAATAACAGTAATGACTGCCCCATCCATCTCTCAAGTGTTGGGGTTAGGACTATGGGGGGGGTGCTGTAAGAGAAATATCTTTTTAAGTGAAATCAGTGTGTTGCTGGAAAGAAACAGACACATGGACAGAGAGTTACAGGTCTGGGTTCTTACCTAAGATAGGAGTAACCGATGAAAATGTTTTAAAGTCTATTTGTTATCCAGATAATTTCTACATATTGCACTGATGATTTTTTTTTCCTGATATTGGATGACATTAGGCAATCAACCACAAATAATAATTTAGGCTTTCACAATTACTACTCATTCATAAAATTATATTGGTTCCCCTCACATTCCCTAAATCTGTCTGATGCCCTATGTATAGGGTAATTTTGGAATAAAATCAAGACATTCACACATAGCACATCCCAGAGTTTACTCCACTGAATGGTAGTTCTAGATTTCCTTTTATCAGCATTACTTTATAAAAAGGGTACTGCAATAGAATAAGTTTGAAAATTATACAAATTTAATAGGCTTCTTGGGCCTCCCCTGGTGGCACAGGTGGTTGAGCACAGCACTGTGAAGCTCTCCCCAGTCTCTGCAGTGCCAGTTCGATCCCAGCCAGCCTGTGAGGGTCCCACATGGCTCCGTAGACCAATCCTGTCATGTCCCCTGCTCCCCTCAGCAGTGTATTTCATCAGTCTGCCTGTTCTGTTCCCTGCTTTGTCTCTGGTGAATCCTCTCACCCTCCTGCAAATCTGGCCTGTATCCCAGCTCTTGTATAAATAAATTAATTAATTAAAAACAAAACCATAATTTAAAAAAAAATGGTCTTCTTGACTTTGAGATTTTTTTACAGACCCTTTAATATACTGAAGTTTGTTGAAAATCTGTGAGAGAGGTGAGATACAGCTTGCAGAATTCCTCAAACTTATGTGACTACAGATTCTATTCAGCTGACACATTAATGAATCTAACATTTTAAAACCTCCTTGAGAAAAACTGACCTAAGGTGATGCTGCCGAGATATAAAGACCAAAGATGTACAAGACTTGCCCAAGGTCAGCTAGGTGATGTAGACAGAGTAGCTACCTGGGACTAGAATTCAATTGCCCTGTCTCCGAGTCCACTGTCTTTCCACTTCACTCCAATGCCTGTTACCTTTCCCCTTATCAACTGCTTCCATTAAACGAAAGAAAATATATAGACTTACTTTCTGTAAAAGATTTGTAAGTCTCTCGCTGAAAATTTTTTAGTCAAAGGTCAAGAAAATGTTATAGAAAAAAAAGAGACTAAGATTATAAATCTTATATCATAGTGCAACAAGGGGTTTTGACAATGACAACATATACTACACCTATAAAGAAGACAAACAGATCACCCCAAATTCAAAGTTTCTGCTATCATATAGAAAAGTGCAAAGAAAATCACATTTTTGTAATACATGTGATTCTACGTGCCATCTTAGAAGGGCTTACTAAAAACATGTTTATAAAGCTATATAAAATATCTTGAAAGTTATCAGTGAGCTTAACCTCTGGCAATTTGTTCAATAAAGTTCAAGGTCAGGAAGTAATTTTTAGACTAAAACACTATGTTCTCAGTATAATCCACAAAAATCAAATGTTACTGCATTTTAACAAAATAAAAAAAAAAAACAAAAGAAAACCTTAATTAATGAGAATGCCAGAGAGATTCAAATAGTAGTATTTGATGAGAAGAACATCTAATGTGTATGTGGGTGACCGATGACAACTCAGAGAGGCCTGATGTCAAAGTCCTCATTAATCTCTCAAACACTAAGACAGTTATTACAAGGGTGATGATGGTAAAATATACGATAAGGTCAACTATTATAATATTTCCTAGGTATTTTTTTAATGTGGGGTAATAAGATTCTATGGAATCAAAAGTTATTTTCTCATAAGAGTGATCTTTTATAGAAGACAGACATATGTGTAGTAAAATTTTCTGTAGTTTTTGCTGTAAGTGAAAGAAATGTGCCAAACATTTAAAAAGACTGAGAAGTGTCAAGACAGTTAAAACAAAAATGTAAAGAAAGAATGGGTCTTCGTTTTTTCTGTTTCCAAGGAATAAATACATGATTAAACCAAATTTATTGGTATAATATACCAAATATGAAATACCAAATTTGGTATATTATATTTTGGCATATAATATAATATACCAAGTTTGGTATAATATTCCAAATTAACACAATTTGGTAAATTTTTCTGATGATGACTAGCATATAATGAGTAACTTTGGAAAGACTTAAGTTCTCTGTCCTTAGAGTGTTCTAGCAGAGGTGTGATATACCAAATGAAAGCTGGGGTAAGATGTCATGTAAGATAGATACTTTTAAACTCTGAGACAGAAGAAGTATTTAGGGAAAAAAAAGTATCGAATATATGTGTTGTGACTCTGGTGGTGCCCAACATTATAGCTATTTTAGTTATTAAAGTGTATCTTCTAAGAGCAAAAAAAAAAAAAAAAAAAAAGAAAGAAAGAATGACTGATTTCATTGCAGGTAGGAGGGTAGGAGGCTGGGAGACTTTTTGAATTGTGTTGATCCATCACAAAAGTCTAAAGAAATTAATGGATATTCATTTTTAGACCAGTTTTCTTATAATGAGTTATGTATGGGAAAAATTCTCTTTAGAAGTGAAGAAGGGAGTGGTGCAAATTGCTTTAGAAAAGAATAGGCATTTAGCGAAAAATATAGAGTGTGACACAGCTGGTAAATCACAGATCTAAATAATTTCTACTTCCCTTGGTGGAGGAGAGAAGAAAAAGAAGAAAAAAAAAATGTTGGGCAGTAAAGGGAAAGGAGGTGGAAGAGAATGACAATAGAGAGCATTAATAAATATTTTGTGGTTGATGTAAAATAACTGGTCTTTTGGGGTGGCTTCAGTGATTTACTTTTCTTTATTCTGTCAGGGTCATTTTTATTTCACAATATTATAAAATGAATCATTTTCTTTCATTTCCAAATTCAGCTTGGCAGTTGCCTTGGAAGTACTAATTATGCCTTCCTTACATAAGAAAGGAAAGACCTATTATTGTTGAAGGTTCATTTTTTTAAAAGTATGTTTAAACTCAAAACAGTTAAGGATTATGTCACAGCTATTTTTGAAATCATTACATCTACAATGAACAGCAAGACAATGGTAATGGAAAAATAGCATGGTGCTGGCGAAACTACTTAGACTTTGAGATTTGTTGTTTTAAGATTTTGAAAATAATGCTAAAAATTGAAACAAAACTTTAAGGAACCGGCACACAAGATCTAGCATGATATTACCATGGCAACAATTACAGACTACCAGAAATGCTGAATTTTTACATAACAATGAGTCATAGGTCACAACATCTACTATCTAAAACAGTAATTACTTGAAAATGAAACTGTCCTCTTCATTCCTCAATTTAGCACTGTGGAGAAGCTTGACATTACACTTTATCCCTTGATCAACAAACAAAGCTTATTTCTAGAGAGAAGTTATTAGGTCTCTTGTCCTAATACTTTTCTGTTTCAGAAAATGACCTTTGGGTTATCTGCAAGTGCGAAATTTGACCACTGGGACTAAACACAATCAACAGAGCATGAAAATAGGCCCAATTAATACAAAACTTGGGGTTTCCTGTTCAAAATTTGCATTTGCTGTAGAAATTACTTTTCTGTTGAGATTGTATGAGTTCTTCCTTCCCAAACACTTCTCAGGAGATTGTCAGAGGTAATGGCTCTTTGCAGACATAGATTACAGGCCCTGTTTTACAAGAGAAGACATATGACTAAATATAATTATTGTACTGAAAACTGTCTCTATTAATTTCCAGTACTTAATTATTATCCTTTAGGTTTGCTATGAAACAGTAAGTGGAGATGAAGCAGATTTATTAAGTGCAAAACCAAAGGCTTTACCACTTATAATTATATTAATTTTGCCTTAGATGTTACATAACTCCATGGCTCAGAAAGGTGGCCATGTGCTGGTGTCAGTCATTACCCAGGACTTGTGAAGCATGTTTACAGCTGACAAATAAAATAGCCTCACCCTGTCTGAGGGGAAAGCAGAATTAGAATCCATTTGCATACATGATTCAAAGGATGAATTCTTAGAAGTCAGAGACTAGGACTACACTTTGAACAAAGGACCACCGGAACAGAAATGCCATATTGAAGTATATAGTGCTGTTCCCTGTGCTATGTAAAACACTGCCTGAAAACAGCAGTGTCTTTGGTTAACAGGAGATGGATTGTGTTGGAAGAACAACACATAATCTCTGTGCCTTAAGTATCTAAGAAAATTGATAAAAAATTAGATTCCTTTTTTAGATTGTCAACAAATCAGATTAAATTGTACCTATACTTTTAAAATTTCTCACCACAAAATCTGCTGTCCCTTCTTTTCTACTTCTGCCCCATGGTTGCTTATATATTGAAATTCTGTAGTGAAACCCTCAACCCTATTATGACTGTATTTGCAGATGGAGGCTTTGGAAGATAGTGAAAATTAAGTGATTTACAGGTGGGGCCCTTAAAGGTGGAGGGGGGTTGAGGGAGAGGAGAAACTGGTAGATATCCCAGGATAGCATCAGGACAGCATAGAAGAAAGACCCCAGCTGGTGAAGGCAAGAAAATAGTTGTTTGTAAACCAGGAACAGAGATTCCACCAGGAACTGTAGGGGCTAGAAACTTCATCTTTAACTTCCCAGCTTTCAAAACTGTGAGAAAATAAATTTCTGTTGTTTATGGCAACGAGAGTATGGTATTTACTTATGGCAGTCTGAATCCTCTAAGACAGTCATACACTGGAAGACAAAGAACTTCATAAACATATGCACAGCTTTGCTTGAGTCACACTTACCATTAGTAATCTGTCTCCTACTTGCAACCTTCCATCTTTCTGTGCAGCTCCTCCATCTATAATTTTAGTTACATAAATGCTGTTGTCTCCAGGAATGTGTTGGTTCCCCACACCTCCTGCAATACTGAAACCTAAACCTGTGGAAAAGAAAAGACAAAAAAAAAAAATGCTTTTTTTCTTCTTTTATTTTTTTTAAGAAAATGCAACTAGCCACATTTCAATAGTCTAAAAAATTAATCTCAATTTATTACAGCAATAGATAACAGTAAGGATTCCACTTCAATTAATTTTGTTCTTTAAATATTTTAAGGTTTATTGATTAATGTTAATGAGGCAAAGCTCTTGAGGCAATCTTAAGTGGATATTAGTTTTGTTCTATTTCAAGACTGTACACCTGTTATTTTTCTCTAGCTAATCAGCTTGTAATGGGTGACTGGCCAGAATAAGGGTCAAGCAAAAGGACATACGAGGGTAGCAGATGAGCCAGGAAAAACTGAACTAGAATTGTGCTTATGTTGACTCTACAGGCTCATCTTCATTGTTGTTATACTAACATAGAGAACAAAAATAATGCCATCCTTGGGCACAGACCTCCTGACATTTCAGGGAGAAAAGTCCAGCTGTTACAAAATACAACACATTCTGAGCCAAGAGTCAAGAAGAAGATACACTGGATACTTATGTAATAATTTCAGAGAAGAGGTAAGGAAGATGAGTTATTAGGAAAAAAATTCACTACTGGCCATTAAAAAAAAATGACTCATAGAATCTTTAAAGGTGGAAGAATAAAATAATGTTTCTCAGAGTATGAATAAATACACATTCAGTACAATATTTGCAACAAATCTTTTCATTTTAAATCACAACTAACATGCAAATTACGCAGAAAATTAGATATAAATCAAAGCCCTTTGTTGCTAAAGTAGAGAATTTCTGGAACTTATTCTTCTTAAGAAATTTTTAAAAAATGATAAAACAGTCAAAGATTTTGGCATATTATACAACAATGATAAAAAATACTTAAAATACTTTATTTCTGTTTTTATTGAATAAATATTATGTAGGATTATGTACTCTCAAGATGGTACAAATGATTAATGGAAAAAATAGTGGCATAACAAATTAAAATTTTATACAATTTTAATTTGAATTGATTACATTTGAAATGATTTTTTAAAATTAGATATAATAGTTGCAAAAATTGAGTGGGAAATGGATTTAAATTATATTGTAATTAAAATAAGTGCTATTTTTTCCTACTGGTGTGTAATTACTATATTTTGACACTTTAATATTCCAGAGATCTCTGAATATATTTGTTTGCCTCAGATATAAACAATCTGTTTATCATGAAAAAGATGACCAAGAGAAAATAAAATCACCTCAAACTCTTCTTTCCTATGAAATTAAAAATGTACAACAGCTCATATTTTCCAAAACTGTTGCTTCATATTTACATATGAATAGAGGTGTTTAAAATATATATTTATAAAAATTTCATAGCTACATATAAGATCAATCTATTGCATTTATACAGAAATCACTCTAAAGAAAAGGTTAAATAAATCTGGGCATACAGCAGGGTTGGGGAAGAAAGAGAGCTCAAAACAGGGGAGGGAATGCACATGGAACTATGGTAATGGTTCATGGGTATTATGGTGGTGGGAGAGCAACTGGGGCTACAACTGAAGGGAGAAATCAAACACTGTACAACAATAAATAATGATATAAGAGAATAAATTAATTTAATTTAAAAAAGAGTAAAAAGAAATCTGGGGATTCTGATTTGCCTCCATTTATATCAATAGCAAATGTCAAAGACAGTTTTAGTTACCAAAGATTTTTTTTTAATATTTATTTATTTATGCATACAAGAACTGGGGGACAGGCCAGAGGTGCAGGGGGTGAGAGGATTCACCAGAGACAGAGTAGGGAGCAAAACAGGATCCACTGAAATACATTGCTGAGGGAAGCAGCGGGTGAGACAGGAGAGGTCTGCCGCGCCATGTGTGTAGCTCCCTGGCTGGCCAGGGATTGAACTCCTGCTGCAGAGGCTGCAGACAGCTTCACAGTGCTGTGCTTAATCCCATGTGCCACTAGGGAGGCCCTAGATCTAAGGAAACAAATTATCACCATAGCCAAGGTCAAGTCCAACAAAGGGAATAACCATGTAGCTGACATTTGAAGTTGAAGATTGTCCCAACCAAGACAATGTAATCACTATTGATACCACAGCTATAAAAATATAAATATATTTGCTAACAAGGAAATAATTATTTTTTTCTGAGATTATGTTTAAATCTTCATTTGAACTGGTGACTCAGTCAAGTTGAAGCAAGAAAGCCAGGGAATGTCTCTGAAGGTAAGGAACTAATTTTTTCCATGATTTCTCTTACTTTGATGATATATAGATATAGTTGAAAAGCAATCAACACTTAATCAACACTCAACCATAATCTAGATACTCAACTCAACAAGTAAATGTGTAGCTTATATTTACATCCAAAAACAAGAGCATATTCCATGTTATGAAATTGATCCTGGGCCTCCCTGGTGGCCTAGTGATTAAAGTCTCAGCATTATCACCATGATGGCTGGAGTTCGATCCCAGACAGGGAGCTAATCCCCAAGGTGCAGTACGCCTCTCCTGTCTCACTGGCTGCTCCCCTTTAGCAGTGTATTTCAGTAAATCCACCTGTTCTGCTCTCCACTCTGTTTCTGGTGAATCCTCTCACCCCTAAATCTATGTTCTACACCCCAGTTCTTCTACTCAAAAATAAAATTTAATTAAAATAATAAAATTAATCCTGTTCCTATTTATTCAATAATTAAATCAACCTCATATCCATTTATTCAACAAGCTTCTCCTGAGTATATACTATACATTATTTAATCAGTTACCATTGATTGTAATCCACATAAATGAAAAGGAATGAAAGGCCAGAAACTTTAAATGATGATGACCCATGAATGAGTTCACATGAGAGTGTGGTTAAATCTGGCTGAAGCTATGTTCTAAACCCATATGATGCCATTGATTTTTGGAGGACTACCCTGAAGACAAACACAGGTTAATGCCACTGAGTAATGATACAAAGTACAAGTGATCATTTCAGAGGAAACTGGTGCCGCTTGCACACACTCTGTTAAAGCAAGAGCAGACTGTTTATATTATAGAACCATTCTCTCTCCTGTAGAGCTAATATTCCCCTTCTTCATTCCACTCCAGACACCCATGCGGTCTTGATATTTCAGCACACCAGACATATGTTCACTTAGGACCTTTCCTCTACCTTTACCTACTGCTGAAACATATTTTCTTTGGGTCTTTGGAAAATCTCAATTTGTCTAGGAGCCTGAAGCTGACCTCTATCTAATACTGTCCTCTAACCATATACATCACTTCCTATCCTGCTCTACTTTTCATTTTCCCCAAGCGGTTATTACTCTGTAACATGCTATAGGTCAATTATGCATTTAATATGTTTATTATATATCTCTGTGGTGAAACTATAAAAACTCCATAATGATAGCATTTTTTGTCTGTTTTAGTTCTTAGATCAAGGCCAGGGACATAATATGGACTCAAAGAAGGAATGAATCAATAAATAAATGAATGACACATGCCTCTGAGAAAGCCTCTGGTAAAGGCAAAGTTAGTGCTTTGAGTGAGTGAAAACAGCTTAGAAAGTGAGTGCTGTTAGCTGGAGTTGTAACTGTAGAAGACATGCTAATGCCTCAGGTGAACTCTGATTATCTCTCTTATCAGGGTTTATGCTAACCAGGGTCAGGCACTGGGAAATCAATAGTGCCAGATTTGCAAATATGCAAGTTTCATCTGTAATAAGGGACTAGAGGAAGAGGAATCGATGTTCTATATTTATTGGGACCTATGAGAATAAAAATTCTCTGCTTGCAATAAAGTCTCTGTTTTCTTTTTTTAAACAACAGATACTCAAACACCCTGACATCATGGAACTGACTCTAATGGGGTCTACAATAGTACTAGTGCTAGATGAGCCTGATGGAACATGACTTCTTAGAGGAACAGGACAAGAATCAACAGAAAGTTCAGAATCTGGGCTGCATCTTCAAGGTTAAGTTAGAATAGATAAAAGAGAACTCACCTTTGAAACCACATATCCTCTCTATTTCTGACTGACTAAATGACTGAAGAGTTATCTGACCTGACTTAGGTCATACAATGCTCATAAAAATCTCAGCTCTGTTGAGCTAGAAATTGAGCAGAAATGCCTGGAAAAGTCTCAAAAAAGTATTTATGATAAGATGAGCTAGAATGATCCCTATCAAGATAAATACAATGAGTAGTACAGAGATTTGTGTGAGGCAAAATAAAAATAGCAAAAACACTATTTTGGGGAAAGTGACCAATTTAGAGAGTTGATCACTATTTTAAAAAGAAGTGTTGGTAATAGTAAAAAAAAAAAAAAATCTCTGGATAATTAAATGATAGCAAACTAGTCAATGATAAATTAAATTCAGTGAAAAAGAATTTGTAGGTCTCACCCAACCAAATGCTGATCCCAGAACTATCTACCACTGAAATTTGCTATAAAAACTAGCTCTAAACATATCTATCATGTACCAGTAATAAACTAAGTTAATTCAGAAAAAATGTAAGTATTAATACAGAAAAGGAAGTAAAATCAGTGAATATTTCATTACTCCTGCAAAAGAAAATAACATGGGAAATTGAAAAACCTAATTCCCCAAGCAATTAACAACTGATCTGTTTGTTTCATGATACATTGATTTAATAAAGTTGGGTTCATCTTTCCTTATTTCTTGCATAGTCCCAAATTAATTCCTCATATTAACACAGAAGATACGGGCCTAGGGGATGACTGAATCTTGTTAAAGGCTTTAATTTACCCTCTTTTTTCTGTACAAAATCTTTTCCTCATTGATAAAAAAAGAACAGGAAGAACAGATCACAGTTCACCCCTTTCCCTCAGTGCTCCCCACGCTGAGGAGGAGGTGTCAGTGAGAGGCGGGCTTGAAAGCAGAAGTCTTGGCAGCATAGATTGATACTGTGCTTGAGAAGCTCAGAATAAAAACTCAAATACTTTAAAGAGTTGCTTGATTACAATGTACCCATATATTTTTGTGGGTGTAA